GTATGAACTGTTATTAGAAGTGAGTGCAAAGTGTTTTTTTGTTTTTCTTCTTTTCCGCTTACATTTCGGTTGTGATGTTTCATATCGTGATACAACACATACAGTTGTTAATTCAAATCTGTTTTGTGAAATTGCTTGCTATTTTAGATCACCCCAAGGCGGCGACTTCGTGGAAGTCAAAAATGAAATTCGATGAGTTTCTTTTCAGCAACTTGGGCGAAATTGGAAAGCAAGTTTTCTATTCATTACTATTGTAGTTTTTGCTTATAACCCGTATGTTCTCAAGGTACCAGAAGATCCAGTTTTTCCTCGTATGCCTTCCATCAATCATCGTTTCGATGCACGCGCTCAGTTGGACTCTGGCCGCCGTCCCGGTACCTTATCGGTCTGTCCTCTGCTTGGTTTTTCTTTCTATTGTTCTTTGCTCTTCTTGATTTCAATATTTTGTGCTATTTCTCTTATTTTAGATGTGCTCTACCATCAGAAACTCACGACTCACTTTATAATTCGAACGACTCACGTCTTAGGATCACCGAATGTAAAGGATGGGATGGAGTTCCTGTTTCGTTGAATGCGTCCGGAAGTCCTAAAGTCCATGTGGGTTCTTGTTAGATCATTTTCTTTTTTCTTCTTTTTTTATGATTTACACTTCATCAGCTATTTCGTTATTGCTTTGCGTTTCTCTTTTAGACCACTTGCTGTTTAGAAAGTAGATCATTTATTCGGAGACTCGGAACCGTTTAGCACACAAGTTTGAAAGTGTGACTAGCAAATTTATACTTGCGCTTCAACTTATCTATTATCATTCACTATTTGGAAATCTTGGAGAGAACAAGTACAAGCACATAGAACAAGTGTGCAAGGCGATTTTTAGGTCTCTTACAAGGGAAGGATGCCAACTTGATCTGGCCAACCCAAATGAGATATGTATCACTAGACGCGTCTTTGAACGCTGTTTCCAAATCTGCTTTCTTTTTCGCAGAACAAGAAAAAAATTATGAGCATTTGAAGGCCAAGATTTGTCAAGCTTCAAGTAGCATAAACTTAGCGAAGAGCTGAACAAAGTACGTACAGGGCTTATCAGTTACAGTGTCGGGTGCACCAGCATCTCCACTCCGGCGCGGGACTCTGCACCTCTTCTGCAAACCTGCTCTCTAACCATTTCCAAACGATTGATGAGGTTCCACCTTTCCCACGCTCGTCCTTGGAATCAGAGAGTATATTCGCGGAAGAGGTGCGGTCTCCAGGCAAAGCGGCCACGCGAAAGTGGAGATGCTGGTGCACCGACATTGTAGTTGATGAGCCCTGTATGCGGCTTTACAGTGAGTGTATGCCTTCATTGTAGTCAGTATACCGCATATAAGATTGATTTCCCACTTTCCGGTGTCCCGGTGTTTACACCTTTTCGCTGATTTTATGTCACCCAAGACGACTATCTGCACTTCTGAACGCTCATAACTTCATTAGAGGAGTTGTTCCGCAAAAAAGGAAAGCATCATTGGGTTAGCGTTTGAGGACGCGTTTAGTAATATGCATCTCTTTTTCTTTGTTAGATCAAGTTGGTCCTCTTCCCTCGTTACTCAGAAAAGATGATAGTTACGTTTAAAGGCAGTGGACAGGCAAAATGGATCCTGGTCAGGTTTTGGTAGCGTTAGGTAG